CCCTGGTACGCCCTCTCCTGGAATATGGAATTCCAGCATGGCTTCCATACCAGAAAAGTCATACTGGCTCTCTCGAACAAATTCAGAGAAGAGTTACAAGATCTTGCTTTTCGATTTCTTCTGGCAAACTTTCCTACAATGATAGACCAGCCCGTCTTAATTTAATTTCTATTGAAGACCGTTTTAAAATTTTAAGTATTTCATTTGTTGCTAAATGTTTGTATGGTATTTTAAAAATTGATATTTGTAATCTTATTTCAGTTAATTTACGGCATTATGATCATCTTAAGTTTACTCATTTACACAAATGCCTTTAAGTTCTTTGTTTTTAATTGTTTTCAACGCATATGGGAATTGTTTCCAGTTAACCTTAGGGATGAACTTTCTTGCAATATTTATTAATTTATTAGAAAACTTAAGGGGCATTTTAAGCCCTAAATTTTAAACATTGTACTTTGTAAAAAAATGATGATTATTTTACTGCAAGCCCTATTTTTTAATCTAAATTGTACATAGCTTGACATTAATTCAGATTGTATTTTTTTTAAATCTTCTATTTTTGTATTTTAATGTAACCGTACTGTGTGGAGAGCCCCTTGACAGCAGACATCTGTTTTTGCCTTTGGGCAATTAAACCAGGCAGTCACGGTTGTTCCTTTATGTTTTTTTTGTGTATACTGGAAAAATAAATGATATGATATGATATGATGCACTACTTTTTTGAAATCACATTTCTAAAGCAATAAAATATCATCACGCACATTTGTGTTTGTGGTATTAAAGTTGGTTGTACTATTATTGTGTACGTTTTTGAACACTTCAGATCTTCATAACATCATGAATACATTTTAGATTAAATTCACTGCAAGTAGGTCGATGACTGTTCTATTATTGAATGGTAAATGTTATTTTCGTGACGATAGACAATACCTGGATTTGCGTTAGGAGAATCAATTAGGGGCCTATATGTATTTTGCCCAACCTGTCGTGAAAATATATTGAATAATCAGTGCGTGATTCAAGATACATTTTTAAATCACATTTCTAAAGCAATAAAATATCGTCACGCACATTTGTATTTGTGATATGTTGAAGTTGGTTCAACTACTGTGTACCTGGATTTACGTTAGGGGGCTTTTATGTGCAATTTTGCCCAACCTGTCGTGAAAATGTACTGAATATTCCATGCGTGTAAAAACACTTGCAAAAAATGCTCAGGCCTATAATACTTACTTGAATGGTAATTGTTAACGTGATGAAATAAACAATCAAGGGCGTCGATCCGTGGTTGACAGTGGGGTGGTGGGGAACGAAATGAAAAATAAAGTCTTGGTTGGGTAGCAGGGGGCGAAGTCCCCGAGAAGCTCTGGGGCCTATAGCCTTTTAATTGATTTTAAGCAATGCAATTAACATTTATTTCCATACGAAAAATTTAAAATGTCCAGTGGCGGATCCAGTAATTTGAAATAGAGCTGTGCCCAGTGAGGGACCTTTATAGATGGAGAGTGTAGACGACCTCATTCCCACCATGGTTCGGGCTGAGGTAAGAAAATTTATGATTATGGAACCTCTAGTTGGTCGGAGATGGCACACTCAGACTAAATTTGAATATAATTTTCATTTTTCTCCACTTTTAAATTTCGAAAAAATAAATAGGGTTGGTGGGCCGGCTGGGCCCCTTGAATCTGCCACTGAAATACTCATCATAAAAAGTTTTAAAAGTTATCCTTTTTGTCATAATTATGCCTTCTTATATATTTCGTGCAAACTAACATTCATAAAAATAATGATTTATTAACTACTGATTAGCTTGTGACGTATTCAAAATTCAAACCATGAAAAACAAATAAGATAAACTTAAAACAGTGATTAATTTAGTCTTTTTGCATGTACACTACTTTTAAAATCAATCAAGAGATTTTTGCTTTTCTTCCCTTTTTGAATTTCACATTTTTGTATTAGTAATATTACGACTACACTATTGTGAGTGGAAATAATATCAGTCTATTGTCAAATAAAGTGAAAACACCTCGACCAGACCAAATAACGTAAAATTATCAGCCATATGTATTGCTCCAAAAGCTCTAAAAAATACGAAATGTTCTTCTTGCAACATTTTCAACCAAGTTTAAGAGCGAGAATAGCCTAGCAAAAGTGTTTCACGCTGACATTAGATGTTTTAGGTCATATTTTGTCTTTCCACAGTCGTATCTCAGCAAATACTTGTCGGATTTTTGTATTGCCTTCTGTATTTGGGAGGCAATCCTTTTCTGATTGCTTTAGTATTTGTTTCAATTGTATTGCTTGAAAAAGTCACCGTCATTTTCCACTTTTCGATTGGTGCTATGCTGACCGCCCACCGCATAGAGGCTGCATTTTTACCTCTAGCGACTTCGTTGGCTTTAAATTGCCATTTCGGCTGTTCACCAATCAAATATCTTATTGTTCATTCCCCTTCCCCACCCCCAACGCCCAGCAACCGGAAAGCTGAATATTCATAGATCCTTCTCATATAAAATATATAGATTCCCATTGAATGAAAACAAAAATCACCATCAAAACACTAATTTCAATATGAATTGAATGAACAATCCTGTCTTGAAATTATGCCCGCAAAAAAAAAAAAAAAAAAAAAAAAAAAATTGGTTAGTGTGGGAATCGAACACACAACCTCCAGTTTGCTATTCATTATCCACCATCAACTAAACTGCCTTAAAAAAAACAAACAAAACAAAAAAAAAAAACCAAATAACAAATTGGTTCGTGTGGGAATTGAACACACAACCACCAGGTTTGCTATTCTTTATCCACCTTCGAAAAAAAGTTGGTTCGTGTGGGAATCGTACACACAACCTCCAGGTTTGCTATCATTATCCACCATCAACTAAACTGCCTTAAAAAAGAAAAAAAAATTGGCTCGTGTGGGAATCAAACCCACGACCTTAAATTTCTTTTTTTTAATTAAAAAAAAAACCTGCCCCGTGTGGGAATTGAACCCACGATTGCCGAGTTTACTACTCCTGATCCAGCATGACTAAACGGAGGGAGGTAAACCGCGGCCCCTAAACCATAAATGCGATAAACCTAGTACCACACCAAGTACCAGTTAGTCAACTCTAATCCTAATAGAAAAAAATTCTTCGTATATATACACTGCAGGTTAATATTATGCATGGTCATGGTGTAAAAAAAAATGGGCCGTGGGCCAAGAGGGTTTATTTTTTGTCTAAAAATGTATAATTAAATTTATAATCGATTTATGATTGTTACCATCTTCATAACTTACACACTTTTTTTTAAATAGACAAAAATTCATTATGGAAATTAGAAAAAAATAGACCAATCATATTACGGGATTGAATGTATTGTACTCGTTGATGACGTCGCGAATTGCGAAATAACAACAAACAACAACCTTTCATAATCCAGCCTGGGAACCAGTCAATTCGAGCAGATGCCACTTCGAGCGAAGGCCAATTTGAGCGAATTTGAGCGGATTTTTTTCGAGCGGATTCTAGTTCGAGCGGAAGAAGATCCACTTGTGAGAACAACAACCTGTGCGAGTTATATACGAATTACTTTAAAATTTCTATTTTTGAGCTAACAATTTGCTCAAGCTTTGCCTGGGAGGCAGGGGAAAGCCCCAGTCGGTTCCGGAGAAGACGCCTATAGCCTTATGTATAGCATGTCGTATTTAATGGATTTTTAGGTTAACAAATAATAAAGTTCAATTTGTTCTGAATGTATATGGTAAGTGAATGCTATTAGGAATAGAATTTCCTTTATAGCCTGCCATCTCTATCTTAGAGTAAATAAATATATAAACAAACAAACATACCCCCAGTCATAAAAATAATGATATATCTTAAATTATACTAACTTTTAGTCAATGTTATCCTTTCCACCTGTTTAAAAAAAACAGTGGGTTTTGAACTTTAGAAGAAAATTGGTATGATGTCATTATTACTGTACTGTTACTTGTCACAGGGGTGTATCCAAAATTTTTCAAAGGGGGAGGGGGCACACAACAGTTCCTGAATAGATAAATGAGTAGCACATAACATTAAATGCATTGAAATTTTTAAAATAATGGCAAAACCACCCCTGTCTCACACTACTACACCATTCATTTGTGCACCTTCTGACACACCTACATACGTAAAAATAATTTAAATTCCTATGGTGATTAACAATTACACAATTAAAGTTTCTCCCATTTACCAATATAGGCCTAAATCGTCAATCTACAAATACAATTACAAAATTGTATTATTCAATTACAAATACAGTTTACTTTTTTAAAATACAAAACCCCAATCAGTGGCGGATCTGGGGGTGGGGAGGGGTGGTGAATAGGGTGGCTAGCCACACCCCTTTGTGTAACGTGAAAAAAAAAATAATGGTCACTCGTCTTGTGTGTGTGCTTCTCGTGCATGCACTCTAGTAAAACATACACTTTCTTTTTTAAGCTGAAAAGTGCGCAATTCTATTATACTGTAGTTTTAACTTGTTAGAAGCCATCTTGGTAGTCGGATTTGCAAAGACTGTAATTCAAACATGCAGTAATTATCAAAAAGTACCAAAAAACACTTTTCAGAACCTTAGTAATAATAGCATTTTTTGCATTTAAAACAAATACAAGAATAGGGCGACGATAAATTCGCCCTTGTTATAGTTCGCACTAAATGCATCCGCTCGAACTGGCATCCGCTCGAACTGACATCCGCTCGAATTGACATCCGCTCGAATTGACTGGCATCCCTTCACAACACTGTACAACTTTCCCACTCTACTGGGGCTGGTTGAAAAACAATATTAAAAAAGGTCTGTACTATTATCGCATAGGGTTGCATTTGTTTTACGTAATGCACTACTACAAAATTTCCGATTTTTAGCAGCCTTTCTAACAAATTCCTAAGGTTAATATGTTTCCAAATATATATCCCATTGTTTTTGACTATTTTTAAAGAGAAAAAGCAGACAAATGAAAACATTAAATATTTTTTGTCAATTATATTCTGACAGTCCATTATGGAAAGCGATGCTCGGCGGCGAATTTAGAAACCTCGACGTATAAAGAGAAAAAGCAACAACTAAAACGTAAGAAATAATGGTGTTACTACTTTTGTAAATGTAAATTTTAGGGTTACATTTACAGTATTTCTGTGGTTTCTATGGTCTGTGATGTTATTCATAGCATAGGCCTAGTAGCGATCTACCTACTACTAGGCCTAGACCTGAGCATAGCTAGGCCTAGGAAGGAGGACTGTTTCGGCCGCGCACGAACACATCTTATCACATACCCCACCATAGCCTAGGAGACAAGCCTTAGCATAGCGGCCTGCTAGCCTGGGCTAGGTTTAGGTGTGTGATGTAGCCATTCCGCCAGATATCCAGGCGGTCCAGTACAATCTCATGCGTATATTTTTAGATTATTTGCATTAAAAGTGATAAAAAAAATCAATTAAATTCATTATATAAACAGGGGTGGCGCCAGGACTTGCCCGACGGAGGGGCTAAAGGCCCCGACGGGTGGGGGGGGGGAGGCTAGTGGAGCGAATCCAGTCTCACTTGGTGGGGTCCAGGGGGCTTCTCCCCCTGGAAGCCATGGATATTTGATGAATTATGGCGAATTTTTATTACTTATTTGATAGGCATTGAGTTACTATAATATGACTTCATGTAGACTGTGCTTTCTAATGTTGACATCAGCTTCCAAAACCAAAACATTTCGAATAAAGCAAGAAACAAAAAGTATGCAATGTAACCATCTAATTTATTTTCAAATCCTCATTCTTGAAAGTGAAATTCTATATTTTGAAAATTTTGCATGAAATCTGTCAACCACGTTGTCATGGTCGAGGTTGCTTCACCTATCACGTATTATTATTATTTTTATCATTATTATTATTTTTGTTGTTGTTGTTGTGATGAAAAGTTAACACAAACAATATGGTGGCTAAACGAATATTACATGTAAATATTTTTTTTTATTTGTTTGTTCCCCGACAAAATTTATCGTCTTCCCCGACGGGGGAAGGGGGCCTATAGCCCCCCAGCCCCCTCTGGCGCCACCTGTATATAAATTGTAGAGTTGGCAATATTTGAAGCATTGAAATTGAAGGTGTTGTTTGTAGCCTAGCCTAGTAGTAGTAGTTTATTTATGGGGAGAAGGCAGTGGTTTGCCAGTGGGCGTGGCCCTGAGCCAATGGGCGGGCCCTGCTTACTTGGGCCCATGCCCCCTCCCAAACATAAGAAAAAAAAAGAAAATGATCATCTTTAGCAACATTTAAAGGTGTTTAAATGTTGGAATTTTGTCTTCAAAACTATCACAAATGTATCTCAGTTATAGACTGATTGCGCATGGCTGCGGTTACTCACAGTTTTCTAATGCAGATGCATCTTCATCTCTCGCATTAGTCTAGTGTAAATTCTACTCTAGGTCCTCCAAATCGAGAGAGGCCTAGACCTACTATATTTTGTTGACTAATAAAATTAAATTTTTGATGTTACCAAGTTACGAACAATATTATGTCGGGGAACCGAATCTCAAAAGTATTGTATGTGCAGAAACATGTGTATGCGTTGTGGGCAACTCAGAACCGTCCATTTTCCAGAGGGGTATAAATGTTTTTAACACGACGCGTGTTGTAGTGAACTTTTCACTGGGTACACAAATTAAGCCTTACATTTTTCGGAATCCCCACTGAATATTGGTATGAAAACAACGTGCATTCAATCAATAAAGGTTGTTTTTATCAAATGTAAATATGATTTACTGTAGCTTTGGTTTAATGTGAATATTCGATAGATTCGAAGAATATAAAGAATTTGCTAAATGTACACTAGGGACAAAAAGGCTAGGCCAAGCTGATTAGGCCAAGCCGTCCAAGCCTTAACGGTAAAAGTGGCCATCCTAGATAATTGTTGGCCGTCCAAAAGACGACCGGACGGCTCACTAGCCAAGCCTATTTGAGCAGGTCTCCGCAAACCTATATTTCTGTACAATACTTACTTATTTTTAATATTATGATTTTGAATTTCATTGTTACTTTCAACCATTTTTACAGATGGAGGAGAGAATTAAAGAAATGAAAAAGAAGTATGCCAAGATTCAACAAAATGTTCAGGTTTGATTTAGTTGTTTTAAACTTCCTTGTCTATGTTGTTAAGCTGGGCATGGACTATCAGATTTTTGTCAGACAATGTTTGATGAAACTTCCTTAGGTACAGTCCTGCTGGTAATGGAAAAATCTGCCTAGAGTGATATGCATGCGTAGTGCATCCATCAAGCAAGCATATTTCTGGCCTCTCACATGCTTCTCCGATTCAGAAATAGGCTACACCGATGGGCTAGATCTTCAAATTGTTTTTGTCTCGCTTTGTATGTTTGTTACAATAGCTACTTATCATCCAATCATTTATTAGCGGGGCATTTTACCGGGACTACGAAATATTTTCCGGCGGTAGGTAGTGCGGGGACTTTAGCCGGTGATGTACAATGCCCCGCATTTCCGGGAGGTGGCTGGGACTTTCACATGCACGTAACAGTTTAGTAAATTACATCCCGGGCAAAGTCCCTGCTAGGCCCGGGAAGGGGGGTGGCGGACTACAATTGACAAGTGCATAATGAAAATGGAGTAGACATATTCACTCTCCAGTGCAAAATTACCATCCTTTAATAATCTTAGGTCTTGTCAACTGTTAGTGACAGACAATAATAAATCTGATAGCGAATGAAACTTTCTACATTTATCCAATCATTTATGGTATACCTGTTTACATATATTTTTTCTTACTTTAATTTTAGAGGTCAGAAAGAGCTGCAAAAGCCAGATCACATGTCCAAAGGAAATTAGCAGAACAAAGAGCCCTTCAGAATGCTGAAGCCACAACACAGTATCTAAAAGAAAGCAGTAATGTATCATGTCCATCTACAATGTCACGATCAGATCAGTGTTCTTTGCCTGACACTGATTTAAAAAGAACTTCTCATAATGATTTGAAGCATTCCAAGAGTAGCGTGTCATTTTCTCTTGGAGATAAAGCCAATTTAGAGAAAAAGTCTTCAGACAGCAAAGAATCTGAAAGCAGTGTGAGCCAAGTGGGTCTTGAAAAGGGTGACAGTCATGGGATGCCGATTAATTCTGCTGTACATGGAGTTAAGTCAGAGTCCTCTGAACATGTTCAAGGAACTGACAAGAAAACCAGTGAAAATGTAACAGTTATTAAAAAGAGTCAGGAATCTCTAGGAAGTGGAAAATCTTCTCAAAGGTCATCATCAAAGCCAGGGAAGCAGCTGAAAAAACAGGTGCGGCGATCTCGGGATATGGAATACTTGGCACCAAGTCTTAAAGAGTCCATGGAGTTTGATAGCTGTGGAAATAGTAGTCACACCTGGATGGATGACATGCCATATCCTGCTGAGTATTATGTTAGAAGAACAAGGAGTATGAAGTGGAAAGAATGGTCAGGGACTTCTTGTAAATCAGCACTACCAAGGGAATTAAAAGACAGTCCTGATACAGTCTCTGAAAAATCTTCAATACCTGACAAAATGAAGAAGGCAGAACATAAATCACCTGAGGTGTGCAGTCCTCAGCCAAGTATGACAGAGGGTAAGATTGACCCCACAACTCTTTCATCGGATTCCGATCAATCTCAATCTATTCTCCAAACTTTATGCACAAGCTCTGATTCACGGATATCGTTAAGGAAAGAGAGAAAGAAATCTTTGAGGTCTTCCCAAAAAAGCTTCAAACAAATTTCTGAAGTTGGTAGTAATGAATTGAGTGTCTCTTCTAAAGATTCACCAAAGTCATGTCCAATTAGAAAGTTAGAGAATGTTACATGCCAAAGTGCATCTGAAAGTGCAGTACAAATTGGAAGTAGGAGACGATCGAAGTTGTCACGTAGGAAGGTAAAATCATGTGACAATAGCCCATTAGATGTTCATCCCAAAGAGCTAATCAGCATGGATGGTGACAAATATACGAGAAATTCAGCAAAGATATTAGAATTTTCTGACATAGACAGGAGTGATGAAAAAGTATTAGAATCGTCCATTAAGAACCAAGAACAAGAACCTATCTGTTCAAATCAACAAATATTAACTAGAGAACATTCACAACCTGTCATCTCATCTTCTAATGAAAAGTATCACAAAATCTTTCCAAAGTATCCACATCATCTTCTTCAAAAATCTGCAGATTTTTTTCTTCCTGACTCTGAATTTGTCCACCTGAAAGTTGCTAAAGTTAGAAACTCACCTGTCATGGCAAGGCAATCCCCTAAACATTCTGTTGAAATAACAAACACCAGCTGCAAAGTCTTAGACTTAGAAGATGATTCACATTGGGAGTGCATACAATTAAATATGCAACAGAAACATGCTATAAAAGCATATCTACCTAAAAGTATACCAAAAAATAAAGACTTTCAGTTTGAGGAACTCTACTCTGAATCTAATGAAATCTCAAATAAAAATGCTGAAAGACCTATTACAGATGAGGATGCAGTAACTCTAAGACCTATGTTAGAAGACAACCAATACAGCGGGTCTTTGGATCTTCTTTGCTCAGAAGGTAGTAGTGCTCTTGTATCTGAAGTGCCATCAATTATTGGTGAGGGTGATTCTTTGACAGGAGCTGGTCTGAATTCTGAGCCACTTGTTTCCAGTGGTAGTGATGGTATAAATTTAATAATTCAGTGTGAAGAACATTTTGAATCTTGTAAACAACAGGAAGAAAAAAGTGAGGTGGAGACCCACAAAGACAATTCTTCCAATTCAGAATTGATGAATGTAAGTGACAATGACGTGATGTGTCCTGGTGAAGAACTCATGGCTGAAAATGATGGCAACAATTCTGAAATAGGGATTATGCAAAACAATTTAGAAAGAGACAGAGAAAGAACACCAGTTGATCTCATGATGAAAGACTCAATTGGTAGTAATGTCACACAGGAATCCCCTTTCTCTGGCGTTGCCACAGGTACTCCTCCTCGGCCAGCTGAAATTCCTGATGCCCAAGCTCTTTGTGGTAAATCAGAATCATTGGAAGAATCAGCTGTACAGTTCACTGGATGTCTTTCGGTTAGAATGTAGTTTTTTCAATTACATAAACAGTACTACATTCTGCATAGGTGATCACATTGTTGTTAATTATTCAATTGATTATACAATTTTTATTGTCATATAATAATAATAGTAATAATAATAATGTTATATTTATATAGCGCATATTACACATAGCCCTATGCGCTTTAACAGAAAATTTATATAAGGCCAACCAAGAAAAGAATTATAGTAGGAGCCTAATAATAATATTACCTCTAATATAAATGAAACAGGGCCTTATTAGTTATTCTTTTAAATTTTATTTTAATCTGACTAACTTAGCCCTGTACTTAATGAAAACAGTATCAGTAACTAAAAGAAGTAGTTTCTTTCTTTATATGTCAATATAAATTTTAATACCCATTTGTGTAATCACAAACATTTATTAATAAAAATAACCAAATAAACTTTACAGTTCTTCATTCTACAGCATGACATTAATGGTAGTGTTATTTGCTTTGATGCTGTAAATTGTGTGCAACATGAATCAGTGTCATCAATTGCAGTTGTCTGCTTCGAGAGGTCTTTAGTCATGTGGTCAGAAAAAGATGGATGCTGGGCAGTTGAAGCTACCCTTGATCTCACTCAAGTTAGTATTGTATTAAATTAAAGTTGCTGTAAATATATGTGAAGAGAATTTTTTTTTTTTTTTTTTTTTTAACTAGTATGCATACACAAATACCTATATTAACAAACCTTTCTACCTGCTGAAATATGCCTTGACTACTAGCAAAATAGCTGTACAGGCACCTACCACCTGTCTGCTCAAGGTGGATCAAGACTAGTGATGGAATCAGGATTTGCCCTACAAGGGGCCTGACACTTTTTGGCAGAGGCCAGCAGCATTAACTAGGTTTAATTTTGACCAATCCTGTCATGTTTTCTTTTTCTTTTCTTTCTTTTTTTTAAATTTTTTTTATAAAGAATGGTATATTTGTAAGGTCTTCTCGATGTTTCACATTTCAAATCAATCATTTCAGGTGGAATATTTTGAGAGTGTTTGTTTAGTGTGTGTCAACCAAAGCATCTGGTTGACCACTGGTGGTGTCTTCCCTTCATCCTGTTTGAGGTTTGTGTTTATAAGCATATCATATCATAGCATATTGTCAAAATTATAAGCATCTCTGGAATCAGTTCTAAATCTGAATCTGAATCTATACTGACATAGGACCCCACTAGAGTATGCTTCAGTGTGCGCCATCGATTTGCAAATATTATACATGATAATAATTATATAAATTTTATTTATTAAAAGTATATCTGACTGGTAAATGATTTTGAAATTGTCAAAAAGGTAAATAATTTCTCAACTGACATATGAATAAGTGCTCATTGAACTACCTTTATATAATTATGCTTCAAAACTTGTCTTTTGAACACAACAGATAACGCACTTAATTTACCAACCTAATTGTTAATTGTGCTACATAATATAAAGATTAATTATTAACAGGAGTTTTTAAGCATGTTTTATACAAGGCTTTAAGATAAGGGAATTCTGGAAGAGACAAGCATTGTTAACCATCAAATTACAGCGTCTTTACTCAGAATATAAAATGTACAGGTATTTTGATTTAATTTATTATTTATTTTTACCTTTGTTTTCAGGTTATTTCATCTTAATATTGACGGCACACATACACTTCAAGAGCGTATGATCAGAGTATCAGATTCATATGCCAGAGGTCACATAAGCACCTTGTGTTCTATAGCTGATGTTGGCATTGCAGGTGCTTTTTACCAATGTCAGTTTAACAGGTCAACTCTCTTTCATATACCTTTGGATATTTTTAGCAGGTAAAATTAAAATTTTAATTTTACTTTTTGTTTACATTACTGTATACAGTATTGTTTACAATCAAATAATGAATTTGAGAATTGTATTACATTTATGATCAACAGTACCACAATTCATTATTTTTCTGTTAATAAATTTTGTCATTCATTTTAATAATTAAATTATTCTTTATAATTCTTAATTTAAAGAGATTGATAACCCATTATCTTATTCTATCTTGATCCAGTAATATACCAACTGAAGTCTGTGAAGTTGGTATCTACCCTGGTAAGGTTTCATCCGTCATTGAAGTCACTGGCACACAGCATTGGATTGTGGGATTGTCTAAAGACGATGTTGTACTTGGGTAAGATTGTAAAAGCATTAGTTTTGTATTAGTATTAGCCATCTCATATCATATCTTCACTCACTTTTGTGTATATCCAAGTTCAAGGCATATATGCACATAATTCAGCCTATCACAAAGCATGTATGAAATAAATATGCATAATACAGAATATGCATAATATTCTATATACAGTACATTTATTCTAAGAGATTAGATTGAATGATACCGTAAAGCCTGGTTTCCATAAAATTGCTACGGTGTTTTAAGCGCAATCGTTGTACTGCGTAGCAGTCCCCAATGCATTTGGGATGGCGCTCTGATTCGACTGATCAGTCAGCATCACCGAAAGCTGTCGGCGATCGCGTGTAGCGGTTGTATGGGATCGAAGCTTAATCTTGCATACATTATCACAAGTAAAAGTACATTAGTGCATATCTTTGCATTGTTTATATTGATTCAAGTATTTAAATTATTATTGCTTTTCATTTCTTTTGCACTTGGTGTAGAAACCTTAAATTGGGACAGATTGTTAAGTGCATATCATGGCCAACATCTTTCCCTGAAGCACCTGAATGCCTAAAAGCTTCCACTGAAGGGGTAAGCATGTGTTAATATTTAAAATATTGACAACAATTTCTTTCTATTTTACAAATAATGATATGAAGATGTAATTAATGAATTTCATTAATGATACGGTTAATAATAATTAATATATAATTATATACCTGTACAGTATTTATAAAGTGTCTATACTTGAGTAAAAATCAAAGGCATGTATGTCCAATGAATGATATTTTATCACTGGTGGATTCTGTGGGTGAGCAAAGGAGAATAGCTGTGGCTTGGTGGTTAGGATGCCCCCTTCTTCAATTATAAAGTTCCTGGGTACTTTGCTCAACCAAAAGACTTTTTAAACCTTATAAGAGACTTATATAGCATTGATGTTCCACATGATTAACTTTGCAAGGTTGGTAAATTATGGTAAAAAACAGGAGTATATTTCACCCCTTCCTCCCAAGAATTAACAGTACGTTATATTAATTAGGGTCTTCTGTTTATGGTGCTTGGTTGTCAAAACAACGGAGGATGCAGCCGATTAGATGTTGTTAATCCAGAGGCAGGCAGAACATCAACACTTTTAGAGTACACAAATGAAGACAAGCAGCAGTTAAGGTATGATGATCAAAACCTCCTGCTGTCTGTACAAAGTATTCCATGTAGTTTAGTACAACGCATCAACAAATGCATCCCATTATACTCTTGGGTAGAGAAACACAGATGATGTGTCTTGTCCATATGCTGTAAATAAGTTGATTATGATTATTCCCTGTGGTTGTTGACATACCTCATAGATAAAGAGAGCAACTTTCTCAAGCTGAACTGTGAAGATCGTTTGGTCCCGGGTTCAATTTTCTCTCCTTGTGTTTCAGCTGGAAGGCTGAAATGTAAGTTTCAAAAAGCGCACCGTCTTTCAGATGAGAAGCCATTGGTCCCATGTGCAAAATGGCTTATGTGCATGTTAAAGAACGAACGCAGTACACTCTTTGACTTCTTCTCTTGTAGGTATGTTAGTGCAGCAGCAGATGATCAGTACCTAGCCATGTGCTTCTCAGACGGCAGCATCAGCTTTTGGAGCATCTACTCGGGCCAGTTGCTTGTTCATATTAGAGAACCCACCAGTGATGAGGTGCCCACCTCTGTCAGGCTGCTTGAGTCGACAACCAATGATAAGACGTTACTTTGTGTTGGATCACAGAATTGTGTACATTTTCAAGCATTGAGTCTACTAAACTGACCTTAAAGTTTCAACAGTCTAGTTATATTTTATTTGGTTTTAAATATCTAGAAAACCAAGACACCACACAGCTACTGAATACAAGATGAGGAAGTTGAATAAATTTAGTTGTTAAAGTTAAATCCATGTTGCATATTGTATTTTATTATAACAATATTTTATCATAAATAATACTTCATAAATAAAAGCAAAATAATTATATTGATGATAATGATAATAAACAATACATATATACATGACATCAGTTTTCATGTTCAACAACATGTGCAACAACTGAGTAGACATGGAATACCAGATAACTGTATTGTTTCTTGGAAATGCATTTTAATAGTTAAGATTGCTTATTTTGCACTAGACATGTGGTCAGCATGAATCAAATCATCTCTGATGTTTATTTTCTGTGTAAAATATCGCAGACACTGTACTAGTCTTGCTATCATAGAAGTAAAGTACCAGCATATTTAAAAGGGGAGAGTTGACACTCGATACACTCTCCGCTCACTGGAAATGTGTTGAGTCAAAAATAACCTTGACCTATTCCCATTCAGCCTTTCTGATCCCAAATCATCAATATGTCAATGCTGTTAGCAGTGTTGGCTCCATAAATTTGCCCACGAGGGACCAAGGGCCCGACTAGAGCATTGGCTAGGGTCCCAGAATAAAAAATTCCAGGTAGGGTTCACGGGGAGAGTTTTATGGCTTAGCATGGCTTAAATTATGCTTTTTAACCACAATATTAGCGTTGGAAATCAAAATGCTGTAAATGTTATTCGGATAGGCACATTTTTTTTTGGTTTTCATCGAATGACCTCGTTGTGGCGTTGAAAGACAGACGTCCAGGCTTGTCCGATGGCGGGGGGGGTAGATAAATTCCCCTGCCCTGTTGGTGTCACCACTGGCTCCTAGATACCCATTGAAAGCAAGACATTGTGCAACATGATATGAAAAAACCCAATGTAAAAAGAACTTACAAAAACATAATTAAATAATTCATCTCTTTTGTTGTTAAGCTGAAATGCCAATTTTTAAAAATAATGACGATACTGCAATAAGTCTAAGGCATACCACTTGAGTGCTATTCATTTTTTAATGTCATATTCCTGTATGTAATTTTTGTTCGTATTTCGGCTTGTGAATGGAAATCAATACACAATGTGTATTTGTGCAAGTTTGGTTTCAGAGCCTTTGCAAGCATTTATAGTTAATGTATAGCATAATTATTTAAATATTATATTTAAATTGTATATGCAAAGTACACTATCTATTTAAAAGAAATACACATCAAAATAATCACACAACGATGTTTGATGAGTATTTGATCATTATGTATTTCATTATAAATGTCAAAAACTGAAAGCGCATGGTTTAGTTTCAGAGCAAAATTTTACATTAAAATCTTCATAATAAAAATAAATCTGTGGTTTTACCACAATTATGACGTGAAAAGGTCACAAAAACTAAATATCTAATAAAATATTTGATGTTTACATCTCTTATGGTATCCTCTTAGGAGATGATAGCAGTATATTTTGATGGCCATGCCATAAGGAAAAGTTGGGTTTATTTCTCCATGATTGAACTGGTGGCAGCACCAGAAATTCGCTAATGTAGGGTCCAAGGTCTGTCCCCAAAACGAGGCGCTAATTGCCAAACAGTCATCAAAATTCACCTCGGCTTCATGAACCCCTGCAGCACCACCCCTGAAATTGGGGTTGAGATACTGTCTGCCTTCTGAACATAGTTGTTATTAGAATACTGTACTGATTGCTAACTCCAGTACATTCGATTCTAAAAATTTAAAGCTGTCTACCTATAATTTGCCTCTGAAAATTTCTGTTTAAAATGCAAGATTGTGAAATTGTATTATTGAAAACTATTCAAACTTGTCCACACATCAATTCTTCATATTCAATTTTCTATAAGAATGTGAAAACCGATAAGTTATTTATTCTTCTTATTCATATTCTATATCTCTGAAAAATATTGCATTGAATAATGGTAAAAATAATAATTCAATGATGTCTGTCAGAAAGTGATTCAAATACCAGCGTATACTAGAATTGACCAATAGAATGTTCTGTTACATTTCGTTATGACCAAACCAAGCTGTTCATTTTGTTGAATGGAAGTCTCAGATTCGTAACTGTCAATACCTGCAGAGACAAGAAGATACATTTAATATTAAACATTAATAACTGTAAAACGTGTTGAAATATGGAATCCATTGTTTAAAGTCAGGCTCGGGAGGAAAAAAAATTTTTGATATGTTGTAGAACTGATTTTTCTAAGACAGAAAAAAGTTGTTTGACGAAAAACTGGGGAACGGTGAATGAGATACAGATTTTTTAATATTTAAAAACTGGGGGAAAAAGGGGCACTGTCCATTTTTACACCTTATTTTTACCCCCAGTTTTTAAATATTAAAAAATCTGTATCTTATTCACCGTTCCCCAGTTTTTCGTCAAACAACTTTTCTGTTTTAGAAAAATCAGTTCTACAACATATCAAAAATTTTTTTTCCTCCCGAGCCTGACTTTAATTTTATATTTTTTAATTTTAAAGAGAAACATGATTTACTTTTTAAGCTCTACCCACTCTTGATTGTATCATGCAAATATGGACAACATTAACAACAACAACTTATGGTGGCGGCAACAATAATATTTATAATAATAACTAGGCCTACAGCAGATCTCAGGTATCCTGGAAGTTCTGAGTATCTTCGGCAAGCTCATCTACCAGCTTGTCAAATGTTAACAGGATGAACCTTCCAATGTTTCCAAAATATATTTCAATATTTAAAGCATTTCTTTTTTAACCAACATTCACAATACAACAACTTGTCCTATCTGTTCATAAACTACTAGGGACTTCTGTAGCATGTCAAGTGAAATCAAAACTTGATTGCCATTTACATGTATAAAATGACATTTACACCACACAAGTCACTACACATTTCATAAAACCAAATATATAGTACCCAAATAAATAAAAAATTAAATTATGCCTACCTTATATTGGGAGTCATATGTAAATTTCACTTGTTTTCCATTAGCTAACACCTTTGCAGGTGTAGTTGTTATTCCAAAGATTTTGATTTCTCCAAGAAGCATACTGGAAGATGATGTGAAACCGTCTTTAATTGCATAACTTTTTATCTCTTGGTTCACTGCCTTGAATTGCCATGTACTATATTTTCCATTTTTAATTGTATCTGAAAATGGATTAGAGAAATACATCACATAGTAAAATGAATACTCCAGTATTGATCTATTAATTAAATATAGCACCTCTTATTTGCTATCATCACTTAACTCTTCCTATTGTTGTTTCATAACTCCCCAAGGCACATTATGCATCATTCAAGCAAAAGGTTAACCATTACAGAAGGTAAGCGCCGCCACATACATTACATTTCTTTATAGTACATAAGTCTTAATAATTCTTTGCCCTCAAAACTACCCCACATTTTCGGGTACCCTGTATGTAAAGCATGTAAAAGCATCTCGTTACCTAAACTATCACCATCATCCCAGTACAAATCTCCAGCAGCAAGACCATTTGCATCTAGCGCCACCAGCAGGTTCATGTCATTCATTCTGGTTACAGTAGTTGTGGTATTAGCATATTGCCATGGCAGTATATGCCCTGCCCTCACATGAAGGTTTATCTTGTCAAGAGGGGCATCAAGACGGACAGACTGGGTTGATGGCATGTTGATGGTCTCGCCCTGTTGGAGTATAAGGTGATGACTTTAAAACATTTTCATGAGTATAGACCTAACTTCTGTAACACAATCCTTATCATCGTCATCTACCATACTTATCAATAGATCAATCAGCCATCATCAATACTATCATTAGAATCATTGTCTTTATCAGCATCGTCATCATCATTGTTTATTTTTAGTAACATTCCTGTCATAAAAATCTTACAAACTTCATGATCACTATTCTTACTTTTACACCATCACAAAATTATCATTATACACATCATTGCCATCATAAGCCATCAACCACCAAAATTGTCATCAGCAACAACACAAGAATTAATGTATCATTGTTAATTAATCATTATTATCTTAATTGCAAGAAAAACACTGTAGCAACAAAGTAGTGATATTATGGAAACTGGCTCTGTTAATTAACAGGACAATTATTAATTAGAAATCCAGGGAGGACTAACGTCAAGGGTATGTTTATAAATCCAACTCATCTACCAGCTTGTCAATTGTTCACAGGACGAACCTTACAATGTTTCCAAAATATATTTCAATATTTAAAGCATTTCTTTTTTAGCCAACAATCCAGGGAGGACTAACGTCAAGGGTATGTTTATAAATCCAATGATTGATTGATAACATACTAACCGTTATCAAATCGTACCATATACCCGAAGGTATCATGGCGTCAACTGTGGTGGCGCCCTGTGTAAGAACTGGTGAAATCATCAATGCTGGACCCCATAAGAACTGCTTGTCAACTGTCCTTAGAGCGGAATCATCAGGAAATCTAATTATTAAAAGAAAACAAAATGTTTTAACATTTATTAATTTTTATGCTGGACTGCATGGAACTTCAACTGTTTGTCAATTGACCTAAAATTGAGCTATCAAGAAATTAAGAAAAATAAATTAATTAGGAAATCAGTATTACATTTTGTATATTAAAAAATAAACAAATGCAGAGGAAAAATCAGTAAAAATTGAACTGTTTATTTTAACTGTGTCCCACTGGACGAAGATTACGTGAGCCTTTTCGACCAAAATCGAGAGAGAGGGGCCTAGGCCCTAGCTATGCTAGGCCGAAATCATTAGGCCTTGGCCTAGCTTATAACATCATGCCATGTGCCCAGGTGTTATGACCTCTCAACAACAACCTATTGAACACAACAGGGTCAGCCCAACCAATATCAGCACATTACTGTACGTCATCGAACTAATAACCTCACGACCAGATTGAAGTAACAGGCAGTTGAAAGATCTCGAGATTGCTGATTGTAATTGAAACGTCCAGTAAATGCTGATGTTATTTTGTTTCATTCATAAACCAAAGTTAAACACTACATTATAGGAACCAGATGAATTTTTTCAATGATCAAAGTAAGTGGTACTGTAGTTGGTAGTTGAAGAGAACTTACTCAAAGAAGAGTGGTCTTGCTACTGTGCTTCCATTGATGTGTGAATGGTAAAAGAGCGTGTAGAGATATGGTAGCAAGGCATAGCGAATGCTTAAAGCTTTGGCGGTTGACTTCTGCATTGCTTTACTAAAGGCAGTTGGATCTTGATCCTGAGACACAAGACAAAAAAAAAAAAATTAAAATTAACAAAATTATCTACGAAGGAAAGTGATTTGATTTGACTTTATTTGGCATCATAAAAAACAGTATATACATTACAGATAAAATACATAAAATCGATAAAATGTTCATATACACAAAGGATGCCCGGAACGCCCATAAAGTCCAAAAACTTATTTCCAATGGGGTACGATTTTGAAAGTGTTTGATTTTGAAAGTAGAGATAGTTGATGAGGTAGAGGAAGGGTCAGTAGCATACCTAGGATTGCTGAATGGGGGGTGATCGGGGAGGGGGAATAAAAAGTGGGAGGGCTTAATGTTTAAGTGAGGGGTTCTAGTTGGCAAAATAAGGTGATATGATGTAATTTTCTAACTACTTTTTTTGTTTTGAAAATTTCCAGTGGGGGAAACTGGGAGGGGGAGTGTGAGGAAACATTTAATGGGAGGTGAGAGTTTGATGGTGAAGAGAGAGTGAGTTTGATTGCAGAAGGGAGTGAGCATGATGAGGCAGGAGAAAATTTGATAAAAGAGAGTATGACGTAGGGAAACGAGAATGTCTGATAAAGTAAGAAAGAATTTGATCAGAAAATAAATAGCTCAAGTTTGTACGGTAGGAGAAAGTGCTGAGGGGAAAGGAACAGAATGACAGTAAAACTGATGATTCCTACATTGGCAATGATGATGAAAATAATGCTGCAATTACCTTACACTTGATAGGTAAAGAAGGGCAATAAATGGAGTTATGATTCCTCGAGAATGGGTAGAAGGCGCCAAGCTGCATCCAACGTTGACACAACTCCTCATTGGAATTTCCGTTGAACCCGCAGATGTCAGCACCAACCAATGGAATTCCAAAGAAACTGAATGACAGGATTCCTACACAAATCAAAAACAAAAATTGACAAAAATGTTTAAGTAACTTGGTAACAATTTGTTTGAAATTAATGGATGCATTCAAAGATTTGGAACAACAAATCACTTTATTATATACATAATTTCTTCTATTTATACAGCATCCATATTCCTATTAAACTCGTTAATGGGTGTGTCAAGGTTAAAATGTCAACATCATACATTTGACCAAAAATTATGACTAATGAAATACAATGCAAATCAACTCATCAGAGCGTTGTGGCAATAATTTACCTGTAATAGAGTAGTACATATCTGACCACGCACTGTCATTATCACCAAGCCAATGTCCACCATACTGTCCGCTCCCTGGGAAGGTGGACCGAGAGATGATAAATGGCCTCTTATTACGGATGTTGATTAACACCCTGAAAGCAAAATTACCAAATTGATTGAAGATGTAAAGTGTGGAAACACTGGCATTAACACATGAGAACTGGGGGGGGGGGGGGTGTCAGTGAGTCTGGAATCATATTGTTACTCACACCACAAGCTAACACAAAAAAGTGCGTATCTGTTGTCAAGCAATTTTGTATTCTTTACAATAATAATACAGTAATGACAACAGCGCATATTTTAACAAGCTTTTTTGTTTTCACAAGCTTAAACACAATCTACTTTATCAGTGTCAGTCGGCCGGCTATTTCTCATTATATAGGCTAGGGCTAATTCTAGTGTTCCATGCAAAAAATAACCACTCTCCCCATGAACTTTAGTTGATAAAATGCTAACTATAAAGCTAAAATACAGGTTTAATTATTAAATATATCATTCTAAGTTTGAAAAGATTTTGGGTTGGTCAGGCTTGGGCAAAAAATTTTTTTTTTATCCAATGTCTCATCATCTGACCTATGACCTGTTAGGTACGTGATAACAAATCATAGCTTACTGATGAGTAGCAACCATCTCTGAGTAGCCATACAAATTGTGAAGATTATAGTGCAGGCCAGTGTAGTGTTTAGCTGTCATACACAGTGTCTTGGACCACAGCTTGCCTCCTGTAACCTCTTTAAATATGAAAAACAAAATATTAAGACACATTTATTATCAAATCATATATTAATATTTAAAAAAACATACTAAAAGCATAATATGATCTGAAATAAAAATAAAATGTACTGTTTTTATGAAATATGTTAAGTGATTGCCCAAAAAAAAAAAAAAAAAAAAAATGTTTTTATTGGAACTTTTTACTGGAATGTGGTTTGGCTCATTGGTTTCCATTCTGGTTGTTGAACTTGTGGTCAGGTGTTCAAATCAAACACTGTTCAATTTTGGCCCGCCATGCTCAGATCCCACAACTTGCACTGTTGACAGGCTGTCAAGTGGCTGCGGCTATGTTCCAGCCCTAGGTACAAGCATTTCATGGCATAGAAATAGTAGTTAAGTAACCCCTTACCTAAAGTGGCTTTCAAGCCTTGTTTGGGGTGATTTCAGTGAAAAAAATAATAATATTGAAGTACATCAAGTATTAAAACAGTTTAATTTTTGTGGCAGTAGATTTTAAAACATTCAATTTTGAACTCACTTGGTACATATGGAGGGTTTTCATATGTACTGTTGCTAGGACAACCATTTGTTGATCCATCAATCATATTTGATGGTTCGTTCATATCCTACAAATTGAGAAATAAAAACAATGTATTTTAATATGTTAATAAATACTGAGAACTAACAGTAAAGAAAAACATGAAAAATAATTCATATAACTTACAACTGAATGACAAATTATGTATGTAGTGTATACTTTTTTTTCTAAAGTTAAATGAAAAGACTAATGCTGACTTTAGGTTTATAAATCAGGACATACATTATTAATATCTTGAGGTCAATTTGGAGAAATCAATCAGAGGATGGCTAATAAAGGACAGACAATATGAAATAGATGGCATAAGAGAATAATGGTAAAATAAAAATAACCAACAAGAAACAAGTAGACACCGTAAGACGCCGCGGCGCGGCAACCGGCTTGGATTTCGCTTGGGAATTCAGGCGAAGGATGAGGTCCGGTTGGAGTCCCACAACCGGGACAGGGTGGGCGGGACGCCCAGGAGCCGGCGGAACCGGGACCGCCGAAGCGGCCTGCATTCCGGCGAAAACCTCCCGAGCCATCCAGCCCACCTGCTCCGAAATCAACGAAACCAGCGCCGGAAGGACCCGCCGAACGCGAAGCCGATGAATCCTCCAACGGTGGAGGCGAGTCATCCGGCGCCACTACAACCCCCGACGCAGCCGGCAGCGAACCCTGAGATCGAGTGGCAGCCTGAGCTGCCCAATCAAGAGCCGCCGCAAACTTAGTCGGGGGCCAGCGCGCACAAAACAAGAAACAAGTAGATTAATTGGAATATACTGTAACTGTTTCACATTTCTGCGCAGATGGTGTTTTTAGCTGATGCCAGATGTTATCGATGAGGTTGAGATCAGTTTATTCAAGCGGTATTTTCCACCAGTTGATACCGTTTGCTTCCATTTACTGTCAGGCAGATGACACGTGTGCTTAGGATTATTATCCTGTTGGAATCTGTTGGTGCGATTCAGGAAACACAGAGCGAACAAAGGGAAGTAGAATGGCTTCAAGAAAGTTCATAAACATAAACGTCAGTATTCATACTCCCACCGAAGATCAAAGCATTGGTAGCACCCCTTTAGACTGATGCTACCCCATACATGAACTTTAACTGGATGTTTAGCTACCGGTTTCAACTTTGGCTCCTCTCCAACTTTGTAGAAACACACCTTGCGCCATGTTGCTCTGGTAGGCCATCAGCTGTAGCTAAAAAAGTGACCAGAAAACAAGTTCCGTTCCAGAATAATGGAGACTACTTTTTGGATGCATATATTGTTAATTCAATCCTTGCTACACATTGTGTTAAAAGTTCTCCGCAATAAAACCTGCAGTTTTTTGTCAGGACACCTCCAAACATGCTGAATATACCCCAAAATAGCCGGTTTTGAGGTCTGATACCATGTTTAAGCGTCAACAACTTCGCAACTAATTATATGTCATAGTCACAATTTTCAGCGTTAATAGAAGTTATAGTTTTAATTTGACAACTAAAAGCTGGTGATCCAATTCTTATTGGCCTTTATGTAATCGGAACTGGAAAAACGGTGATTTACTCAGAAAAACTAGTTTTTTCGACTAAAATGCTATGTTTAACTATTAGTAACTTTGAATATAATGATACTTGATGCTCCCAATTTT